TAGGCACACATCTTTACAGTGTAAAAAAGATTGTCTCACAACACCTAGTGACTAACACTCATCAAGCAGTTTCACTCCCTGGTACTAACCAATCAAATACAGGAGCCCATGGGGCCATTCTTATTCAAGTCACCACATTCCATGCCTTGGCCCCCACAGTCTTATAGTCACATCACGATGCACAATGCATTTGGTTCAATTTCAAGAGTTCAACCCAAAGTCTTTCATAGTCTCACAGTCTCAAATCTTTTTAAAAGTCCAAAGTCTCTTCTGAGACTCTTGGTAATCTCTTAACTGTAACTCCCTATAAAATCAAAAGCAAAAAAGAAGATCACAAACTTCCAACACACAATGGCACAGAATATACATTACCTTTCCAAAATGAAGGAAGAGAAGCATAATGAGAAAATATTGGACCAAAGTAGGACTGAAATCCAGCATGGCAAACTCCAAATTCTGCATCGCCATGTTGGATGTCAAAGGGCTCTTCAGAGCTCCAACTCTGTGGTAGTTTATATAAGAATGGCCCCTATAAGCTCCTACATTTGAATACTTGGTCACCTGGGAGTAGAACTGTTTGAAAGGATTAAAAGGATTAGGAGATGTGGCCTTGTTGAAGGAAGTATGTAACTGGGGGCAAGCTTTGAGTTTTCAAAAGCCCAAGCCAGGCCCTGTCTCTCTGTCTCTGTCTCTCTGTGTCTCTGTCTGTCTGTCTGTCTGTCTGTCTCTCTCTCTCTCTCTCTCTCTCTCTCTCTCCACCTCCTGGCTCTCCACTACTGTTCCAGTGCCTTCATGCCACCATGCTTCCTGCTATGATAATGGACTGATCCTCTAAAACTGTAAGCAAGCTCTGTAGGGAAAGAGCGTTTGGGCATGGTCACAGGTACATAGAAGGTACGGAGGGATAAAAGAGCTGAGGGGAGACGAGCTCTCTCTTGGGGTTCTGGTCGGGTCTTGGGGAGCAGCAGAATGCTGACCTTAGGTTCTCGGCTTCTCATATAAGTTACTGCTCTGCTCCCTAATAAAATATCATATGACATCCCTATCCTGTCTAGGCTAATCTTCCTCAATAAAGCTCCCAATTAAATGCTTTCCTGTACAATAGTTGCCTTGGTCACAGTGTTTTTTCACAGCAACAGAGCACTGACTAAGACAGAGATTTGTACCAGGAACTAAGATATTGTTGTGACATGCTTGACCATGCTACTTGTTGGAGGGATGTGGGCTCATGGACTTGGGGCTAGGAGAGCAGTTGAACTCTTTAAGTAGGGTTTTATAGGCCATAGTAGTAGGAGCAGAGAAGATAGTAGTTCTGAGAGAAATGGAAATTATGACAGCCTGGCTCAAGAGGATACAAGAGGGGAAGAATATTAGCAGTCAGTGTAGAGGCTGTTTTGTAATATTTTAGCAAGGAATGTGACTGTTTTTCACCCTTGTCCTAAAAGTCTGCCTGAGGCTAAACTGAAGTTTTGGATTAATGGCATTGGCAGAGGAAGTTCAAGACTGCCTAGTATTGACTGGGTCCTGTAGTTACTACTTACACAATGTACAGTGTGAAGAGTAAAAGAACACCAGGAAAGATGACTTTGGAGCCAAGTCCTGTGCTCAAGGAGATAAAAAATGTAAAGAAAAGCCTGATGCTAAATGGAATAAAGGTAGTGATAATATCATGGTAAGACTGTGATGACACATTGTGTCTGAAGATAAGAGTGCAAAGCTAGTCAGCTACACAGGCCAGGCAGTGGTGACACATAGCTTTAATCCCAGCACTTAGGAGACAGAGGCAGATGGATCTCTGTGAGTTCAAGACCACCCTGGGCTACAAGAGAGTGAATCAGTCTAAAAGGGAATTAGAGCTCATGCCTTTAATTTCAGCACTAGAGAGAACATAAGGAGCTCAGTGCCGTCTTGGAGAGGAGTTGAGGATTTTGATGGAGAGAATTGCAGTCTAGGCAGTCTGAGGAGCAGTGCAGTCTAGAGATGCAATCAGAGAACATAATCACTCCTTCAGTCTGAGCATTGGTAGAGGTGAGAACTCTCTAGTGGCTGGCTGCTTTGCTTTTCTGATCTTCACCTTGAACCCCAATATCTGTCTCTGGTTTTTTATTATTCCTGTTACACAAGACCCTACTCAGTTACACTTCCAACTTATGTAAAGGAATTAAATAAAAGCTTGAACTGTCAAGGAAACCATCAACAACAGATAGCTGATGCCAATGTAATTGAATGAGGAGACCAAGTTGCTGCCTCATCAAGCAGCAGAAGGGGGCAGCTTCAGCCATGCAGTTCTGGCTTTAGAGTCAGGAATAAGAAAAAGATTGTGTAATTTCTCTCCATGGCTAATGAAAGTCACCGATGCCAAGTGTATGTGTCAGGAGTGTCCTTGCATGGAGGCCCAGAGAAGCCATTGTGTGAAGCTGTGAAGGTGAAGCCTAGATTGTGTTGAAGACCCCAAGACACTGGAAATGCCAGAGTTTTGAGGTACCTTCCGAGAAGAGATACGTGGAGCACAGGATCTATGTAACAGTGATCCCAGTAATTTCCACTTCCTGGTGACTACACATTGAAAGATAAGAGTCTATGAAAGCCATTCTTATTTAAACGGCCGCACCTGGCCACAGTACTCTCACTAAAAACTGTAGATTGGATGGGACCATAATGAGATGAGGCCGCTATAGGAGGCAAACTCCATAGCAGCCTTTTCACTCCACTCCATCCTGGAAGGTTGAGAACATGTGTACCGTATATATTTGACAGCCCACTCTCCGTCAGCTAGTAAAACCATTTGCTGTTCCTTTGGGAAAACCATCTTTCCCCATTTTAGTTGTGCTTTGTTTGGCCATTATGAATACTTCCACTTGTTTAACACAAGGCGAGACACGTGACAGAGACTAACCAACCAGAACACTCGTATCTTCCATTATCACCATCGGATCTGAGAAAGTCACATGGCTTAGTCTGGGCCAATCAAGACTTACCCAAGACTTTGGTATATTTTTTTACTAGTTGTGTTCCCATGACAAGAATAAACACCAGGAGACCTTGGAACTGATGGAGTCATCTTATCTACCGGTCATCCACAGGATAATGCCAACACACCAGAATACTGGGCCTCGAGGACAGAAGAGAAACACAGCCCTGCCAATCTCATCTGAGCCCCTGGATCCAGCTACACATAAATAGCGTCACTTGCTAGCTAACCCCGCTCTTAGCTTGAACTTTGTCTGAGAGGTGTTTCTGTCACTTTCAAGTGAAAGCATTGGGATTCTAATGCTTTGTGCTTTCCATGGCTAATGTGTGAGACCAGTTGTATGTGTGTCCTGATTTTCTACCTCTACCTGTACCAGCACCCTATGTCATGTGACTACTTTAGAACTCCCCCCCCCCAATGCTTACTGCCCTTTGATTTTTGAGCTGAATCTTGTAATATACTTTGGCCAATACAATGAAGCAAAGCAAAAACGTGTTTGGTCAGTCCCTCCAGTGAGGTAGGCTCATGAAATACTAAAAGTAAACAACTCAAAAGTCTCAGGAAGTTCCTAAAACTAACAATATTCACAAGGCTCCTCCCCAAGGTTACAGATGAGGCAGTAAACAGCTGGAGAAAGGAGACTTACCAGTCCAGATGCCTGTAAGTGACTCTCCAATATGTCAAACTGACTGAAGGTCAGGTAGAATGCTCCAGAGTTATAACTGCCACTCAGGCTGGGGTAAGTTTTTCAGTGTTCTAGCTACCTTTGGGTCATCTATACCACTCCCTGTAAGTAAGGTAAGTAAGTGCTCACCCATAATCCTATAAGTAGCCCCAATAAATTCATTGGTTCACCAAGTTAGACTTTGGTGGAATTTTTACATAGGTCTCTTGTTGATTACCTATATGGGGTGATCAGGTGTCTGTTCATGTCTCTCTAGAAAAGTTCACACAAAAGGTCTTTAAAAGCATGCCTCATTTCTCAGAGTAGAAGGATATGCCCTGGCTGGCCCACTGGTCCTAGAGAAAAACTTGATCCCAGCTATGCCCAGCCTAGATCAGCCAACTAAGAGTCATAGAACCAAAACAAGCACTTATGTTTGAATTTGTCATGACCTTTTTTGTGACTTAATTGGCTGATGGGATATATCTGTCACTCCTACACCTGGTCTCCTTGAAGGTAGGGAGTGGTTTGTGTGTGCTATCTCTCAGTACCTAGAACAGATCCTGGAGCAGGGATGCAGTGAATGAGGGACAGAAAGAGGGGGAAAAAAGGGAGTGGAAGGTTAGCCATCTTTTGTGTCTTGTAACCAGGTTTGAAGATCTGATCTCAGCAAAAGGGGGACATACATAGTTCTGTTTATAGAACATCATATACACTTTGGAAATTCTAGGCTGATTTCTAAGAACCTATACCATATGCCATTGTCCAGTAACCATGAGTCTCAAAATGCTTACATATCAGCCTACAGTCTGGGAGAGGTCATGAAGCCACCTTTGTCAATTCTGCTGCCTGTCAGGCAGGCAGGCAGGCCCAGGCTGGTGCCTAATTGGGTTTACAGTACCACAGCAAACGCACTGCAAAAACCCTGGCAATCACACTCAGATCATACTCCCCAGTCACCAGCAGAAGGCATTTTACAGGGTTTCATTACAATTGGAAAAAGTATTAAAAGGCTTATTTCTTGATTAATGACTTTCTCTGCTCAAGAAATATAACCCTATCTCTAACTCCAAATAACCAGAAACAAAATTAAATTTCTATCATGATATCATGCAGGGCATGAGTTACACCATGTCTAAAAGCCTTTGTTTCTTTACATTATTTTATCCAATTCAAAGACACAAGAGACTCTGAGACCAAACACCGGAACTGTTTTGCCATAAGTATAAACAGAGGTGAAAGGGAATCTTCTTGGCTTTTCTAAGGCCCTCTTGAATTTACACTGTTTTCTTTTTCTTTTTCTTTTCTTTTCAAAGGTTTAGCTGCAAAAAGACCAAAGCCCATACCATCATCAGAGTCCTTGGATTATTCCTTTTTTGCTTCCCCTTCGTTCTCCTTAGCTGGGGCAGCAGCAGTGGAGGGGGCAGAGCTGCCTACTGGTGCAGCTCCACCTACCCCTACATTGCAGATGAGACTCCCAATGTTGACATTGGCCAGGGCCTTTGCAAACAAGCCAGACCAGAAAGGTTCAACATTGACACTAGCTACTACAATGAGGGCACTGATCTTATCATCTATGAGCATCACCTTGTAGGATGAGGGCAGAGTAGATGCAGGTGAGCTCCAAGATGGAGGTCATGTTGCAGCCTGCTGGCACTGTGCTAGTTGCTGGATGAAGTGAAGACCTCAGTGTGGCCTTAGCTTCTGAGCACCTTGGTGGTGACTGAGAACAGTCACTTTCCTTTAGGTAAAGACACAGAGGGGTCTGTATATAACTTCTAAAGTACTCATCTCTTTGGATACTCTTGGGAGAAATTAACAGGCATCAACACATCAGAAACAAAAGCTTCTAGCAACTTGATTCCATTAACTTCCTTTTCTGCATCTATTATCATGGGCAAATTCTAAGGACCATGGTGGACTTTTAAGATTGTAAGGAGAGAGCGGGTGTTGGTGGCACACGCCTTTAATCCCAGCACTCGGGAGGCAGAGGCAGGCGGATCTCTGTAAGTTCAAGACCAGCCTGGACTACCAAGGGAGTTCCAGGACAGCCTCCAAAGCCACAGAGAAACCTTGTCTCGAAAAAACAAAAAAACAAAACAAAAAAAAAGATTGTAAGGAGAGGCTGGGGAGATGGCTTGCTTAGTGGGTAAATTTCTGGCCATACAAACATAGAGCCTGATCATTTTGATCCCCAGCAACCATACCTGGAAAGAAAGGAAGGAAGGAAGGAAGGAAGGAAGGAAGGAAGGAAGGAAGGAAGGAAGGAAGGAAGGAAGGAAGGATGGAAGGAAGGAAGGAGGGAGGGAAGGAAGAAAGGAGAGAGGGAAGGAGGGGAAGGAAGGAAAGAAGGAAGAAAGGAAGGAACGAACAAACGAATGAATGAACAAACAAAGTCCAGCCACAGCACCCATGCCTGTAATCCCAGTGCTGGGCAGGTGGAGACAGGAGAATCCCTGTGGCTTGTTGGTCAACCAGTCTAGCCAAATCAGTAAGGTCCAGGTTCAGGGAATAGACTCTATCTCAAAAAATAAAGCAGAAAATAATTTAGAAAGATATCCAACATTGACCTTTAGCCTCTATACAAAGGTATGTAGGTTCACACACACACACATACACACACACACACACAAAATAGAAAAAAAAAAGCCAGGTGTTGGTGTCACATGCCTTTAATCCCAGCACTCAGGAGGCAGAGGCAGATGGATCTCTGTAAGTTGGTGGCCAGCCTGGTCTACAGATCAAGTTCCAGGACAGCCTGCAAAACAATACAAAGAAACCCTGTCTCAAAAAAAAAAAGAAAAAAGAAAAAAAATCTGGAAAAGGAACTTAAAGAACTCTTAAGAGGAAGTCCATAGCCAAACAGAGAAAGTGATGCCTCAGATAGATGTGGAGTCTTCCTCAAACCAGCCACAAGTCACAAGTTGGAGTCAGGTGACTAGTTGTTCTATAGACTAAGGTAGCCTCGAATTCAAAGATCCACCTGCCTCTGCCTCTGCCTCTGCCTCCAAAGTGTTAGAATCAGAGGTGTGCATCACCACCACTCAGCCTCAGTGAATATTTCTAAAATAAACATTTACTGAGCACTTCTGCTGGTGAGGCATCAAGAAGAATTTGTACAAGGACAATGTTCCTTCTACATTTATTCCAGATGCCTTCCACACAAAGAGAGGAAAACTTACACAGGGGTTTCTTAAGCTCTCTTGCAGCTAGACTTCAAGATGTGATTCAGCTTCTGTGGTCACTCAGACCTTGGTTCAAAACTAAGGTATATGAAGAGAGAAGTACATTCTCTACACTCTGACTTGAAAGATGTTAGATAGAGAGCAAGGCTATGCTGGAATGGATCCTGGCAGAGATGGATATACACTCTAGAGATCACGGCTGGTACAGTAGCTTTTTCAGTCAATAACCCTCTGGCCATGGAGGGACTACTGTTGGATGGCCCACTTCCAGTTGCTGTGGGAGTCAGTGTTGAAGGTAGTCTCAAGTCTGTCTTCAGCCATGCCAACCATGGATACCTATGCTTCCTAGTAAACCACACATGTTTAAGCAAAATATTTTCTTTCCCTGTAGTTACAAGCCATAATTAGTCTTAAGGAGACATGAATTACTGAAATTATGGGGCTGGAGAGATGGGAGAGCAGATAAGACCATTTGCTGTTCTTCTGGGGTCCTAAGTTCAATTCCCAGAACCCACATGGAAGTTCACAACCATCTATAATTGTAGTCTGTCAGGACCCACAAAGATGGCTCCACTTCATCTTGACTTAAGGTCAGAGAGCTCAAAACTGTCCTTAGTCTTCCAAGGTTAAAGTCACAAGAACTAAAGGTCTAAGGCGTGGCTATCGTAGGATGTTTTGATCTTGGTCATGGATGTCTTATCTAAATAACAACAAACTTGGTCTGAGGTATGGTTACTCTTGACCCTCAAGGCCAGATAACAGGAAATTGAGTCTAAGGTGTGGTTTTCAAATGTTTGGAGGATTAAGGAAAGAAAGTCTGTTTGTTCCTTATACATGATAAAGAAATCTTTTGCCATGTCCTCCCCCCTTTTGGTTGAATATTGAAGAATAAACTTGGGGCATCCAGTATTCACTGGCTTGCCCTCCCGCCTTTACCCTGTATCTCTGTCTTTTTGTTAGCTCCTTTACCTGCGTTTCTCAATCCACACTTCCCCTCTCAGGTATAGACCAGGCAAGTCAGATGGATCCCACTGAAGCCCCACAAAGAGGGACTACAATAGATTGGCGCCACTGCAGATGGCCATGACAGTAGTCCCAAGAGATCTGATGAATTATTGAAAGTATCCATTAGGATTCAAATGTTTCCTTAATCTAGACCGTCTTTCCGCAGGAGTTCAAGTTAGATGTGATGTAAACCCAAGAGGCTCCTGCCTTCCCTCAGAAAGTATAAATAGACTGTGTTAATATTTGATAGATCATATTCATTTCAATGTTATTTTCAGAAGATTTTCAAGATGATGAGACTCGAAACTGAGCTTTGGACAAGGAAGCAACTTGGAGACATCAACTCAAAATCCATTCATCATAGTGAATGGCCATTTCCAGTAGACAGAAAAGTGTGGTCCCAGTGTTTCAGGACATAGATGTAGGGGCCATGTGCACATCCTCTATGCTTTGCTCCTATTTTACTTATACATCTGTATCTCTTGCAACTCTTCCTAGTATCTGATTCTCCTGGCTGGGGCTGGATCTTAGGAGGCCTTGATGCCTAGGCTCGTTTGGTAGGTCCTCTACCTATCCCAAGGCTTATTGACTTGATATTGAAGGTTCTAGTCTAGCTAGAAGAACACAGGTAAGTGGGCAGTGAACCAAGGAGCAAGAGCTGGGGAGCACACACCAAGGTGGCACACAGAACATTTTTCATGAGGCTCTTAGCTGTTCTCATCCAGGTGCCTTTCCAAAAGTGTCATGAGCTAATAAGGTGAGACAGTTCAGGGCTAACAGCCAAGAAGAAAAACAGCAGGTACAATGGTGAGGAGAGAAAACACATGCTCATGAAGACACAGAAGAAAACAGCCAATCAGTATGTGGAAAGAAAGGTTTATAGAGGAGGGAACTCAAAGCCCCTTGAGCACACTTTCAGAAGACAATAGGAGTCACTGAATAAAGATGTACAATGTGTGCCCTGGTAAGAAATGTGCCTCCTTATAGAAATGCCATGCACTGTATATAGAATGGATGGCTGAGATACCTGTGATAAACTCAGGATAAAGAAGCTTTGGGTTAGGAGAGTTAGGTGATTGAAGAGAAGTAGAGAAGTACACTGGAATGAAGGCTACGGGAGAACTGCAAGGGGAGAAACACTCCAAGACAGCCTGCATAGGAAGATAGAAGAAATATACTCAGTGCGATCAAAGGCAAAGTAGACATCAGAGAAGACATAAAAATGAAAATCTTGTAAAACAAAAAATAAAAAAAAACTTTTAAAAAGCAAAGTATCAGGAAACTGTGAGACATTAAGCAACTAAGTCTATGTGTAATGGAACCCCTGAAGAGAAGAGAAAGGAGGGTGTGATGGTTTGAATAACTATGCCCCCCCCATAGACTCATGTTTGAATACTTGGCCTACAGAGAATGGCACTCTTATGAGGTGTGACCTTGTTTAGAGGAATTAGGCCACTGTGGAGGCAGGTTTTGAGGTCTCCTATAGGCTCAAGGTATGCCCGGTACCCAGATTCCTTCTGCCTATGGATCCAGATATAGAACTCTCAACTCCTTTTCATGTATACTATGTCTGCCCACATGTCACCATGTCCCACCATGAAGATAATGGACATCTTAAGCCAACCCCAATTAAATGGTCTCCTATATAAGAGTTGCTGTGGTCATAGTGTTTTTTCACAGGAATAGAAACCCAAATTACCACAGGGGAAGGGAAAGACATAGTTGAAGAAATCTTGGATAAAACTTCTCCAAATTTAATGAAAACTTTAACTCATAGACCCAAAAGGCTTTAGCACAATAAAACCTAAGAAACATAAAGAAAATAGCTCCCAGGTACATTACAGTCAAATTGTTCAAAATCAATTATAATGAAAAAAGTCTTACAGGCAGCCAGATTTTAAAATGACATACTACATACAAAAGAACAAAGAGGAAAATTACAGCATATTTCTCCTCAGAAACAATATGAAAGAAAGTGAGGTGACCTTTTTATTGTTGTTTGAGACCTATAACCAGCTTAGTCTTAAACTCACTATATAGGGGAGGATGACTTTGAACTTCTGATCCTCCTGCCTCCTCCTCTCAAGAGGAGACTATAGACATGCATAATACTTCTCCAAGCAAAGAACATTGCCAGGAATAAATAAAATAATTTCATAATGAGGAACAAGTCTACTCTGAGGACAGAACAATTCCAAATGTTTCTGCCCCAAGCAGCAGAATGTCAAACACAGGAAGGAAAAAAAAATCTATAAATCAAGTGAGATATTGTAATAATCTCTTTTTACTGCTACAAACAGAAACATCACACAGTAATTATACAGCCATCATTGAGATGACCCATCAGAGCCAGGGGCTCTGTGTGGAGGATTTAAACCAATACAAAGGTCATAT